AGTCAATGGCATCTTCAATAGAGACTCAATGGGGTCGTCAATGGGGATTCAATGGGGAGTCAATGGGGACTCAATGGGGTCTTCAATGGGGAGTCAATGGGGACTCAATGGGGTCTTCAATGGGGACTCAATGGGGACTTAGTGGGGTCGTCAATGGGGACTCAATGGGGAGTCAATGGGGACTCAATGGGGACTCAATGGGGTCGTCAATGGAGACTCAGTGGGGATTCAATGGGGAGTCAATGGGGTCGTCAATGGGGTCTTCAATGGGGACTCAATGGGATCGTCAATGGGGAGGGGGTTCAATGGGGGACTCTAATAGAGACTCAATGGGTGTTCAATGGCGTCTTCAATAGAGACTCAATGGGGTCGTCAATGGGGACTCAATGGGGACTCAATGGGGATTCAATGGGGGTCGTCAATGGGGTCTTCAATGGGGACCCAATGGGGTCTTCAATGGGGACTCAATGGGGTCGTCAATGGGGTCATCAATGGGGATTCAATGGGGTCATCAATGGGGATTCAATGGGGTCGTCAATGGGGACTCAATGGGGGTCGTCAATGAGGTCGTCAATGGGGACTCAATGAGGTTGTCAATGGGGACTCAACGGGGTCTTCAATGGGGATTCAATGGGGTCATCAATGGAGACTCAATGGGGCATCAATGGGGTCTTCAATAGAGACTCAATGGGGTCGTCAATGGGGGTTGTCAATGGGGACTCAATGGGGAGTCAATGGGGTCATCAGTGGGGACTCAATGGGGAGTCAATAGGGTCATCAATGGGGACTCAATGGGGTCGTCAATGGGGATTCAATGGGGACTCAATGGGGATTCAATGGGGTCGTCAATATGGTCGTCAATGGGGGTCATCAATGGGGATTCAATGGGGACTCAATGGGGTCACCAATGGGGATTCAATGGGATCGTCAATGGGGACTCAATGGGGTCGTCAATGGGGAGTCAATGGGGAGTCAATGGGGGTCGTCAATGGGGTCTTCAATGGGGATTCAATGGGGGACTCAATAGAGACTCAATGGGGTCGTCAATGGGGATTCAATGGGGGTCATCAATGGGGAGTCAATGGGGATTCAATGGGGGTCGTCAATGGGGACTCAATGGGGACTCAATGGGGTCGTCAATGGGGAGGGGGTTCAATGGGGGACACTAATAGAGAATGGGGAGTCAATGGGGATTCAATGGGGAGTCAATGGGGTCAATGGAGACTCAATGGGGTCGTCAATGGGGATTCAATGGGGTCATCAATGGGGAGTCAATGGGGTCGCCATTGGGGTCATCAGTGGGGATTCAATGGGGTCGTCAATGGGGATTCAATGGAGACTCAGTGGGGGACTCAATGGGATCATCAATGGGGATTCAATGGAGAGTCAATGGGGTCGTCAATGGGGTTTTCAATAGAGACTCAATGGGGGTCGTCAATGGGGATTCAATGGGGTTGTCAATGGGGATTCAATGGGGTCATCAATTGAGACTCAATGAGGTCATCAATGGGGAGTCAATGGGGGCTCAATGGGGATTGAATGGGGGTCGTCAATGGGGATTCAATGTGGGTCGTCAATGGGGTCGTCAATGGAGACTCAATGGGGTCTTCAATGGGGATTCAATGGGGACTCAATGTGGATTCAATGGGGTCGTCAATGGGGACTCAATGGGGTCGTCAATGGGGACTCAATGGGGTCGTCAATGGGGACTCAATGGGGTCGTCAATGGGGACTCAATGGGGATTCAATGGGGGACTCAATAGAGACTCAATGGGGAGTCAATGGGGGTCGTCAATGGGGACTCAATGGGGTCGTCAATGGGGATTCAATGGGGTCATCAATTGAGACTCAATGAGGTCGTCAATGGGGGTCGTCAATGGGGATTCAATGGGGTCTTCAATGGGGTCGTCAATGGGGATTCAATGGGGGTCGTCAATGGGGTTGTCAATGGGGATTCAATGAGTTCGTCAATGGATACTCAATGGAGACTCAATGGGGTTGTCGATGGGGATTGAATGGGGTCGTCAATGGGGTCTTCAATAGAGACTGAATAGGGGTCTTCAACAGGTATTCAATGGGGTCGTCAATGGGGTCGTCAATGGGATCATCAATGGGGACTCAATGGGGGTCATCAGTGGGGTCTTCAGTGGGGTCTTCAATGGGGATTCAATGGGGTCGTCAATAGAGACTCAATGGGGGTCGTCAATGGGGGTCATCAATGGGGTCGTCAGTGGGGCTTCAATGGGGGTCTTCAATGGGGACTCAATGGGGTCTTCAATGGGGTTGTCAGTGGGGTCGTCAATGGGGACTCAATGGGGGTCTTCAATAGAGACTCAATGGGGGGCTTCAATGGGGATTCAATGGGGTCGTCAATGGGGTCATCAATGGGGCTCTGGGGGGTGTCAATGGGGGGGGTCAATGGGGTTCTAAGGGCAGGCAAAGAGGCTCCAAACCAGCACTTTATTGGTAAAACATATCCATGGGGCTGCCCCATAGATTTATAGGTCTGCCCCACATGTATATCGGCCTGACCCACACATCTCTAGGCCTGCCCCATAGAGCCCTAGGCCTGCCCCCTACATCCATGGGGCTGCCCCATAGCTCTCTAGGCCTGCCCCACAGATCTATGGGTCCTGCCCCATAGATAAGTGGGTCTGCCCCATAGCTCTCTAGGTCCTGCTCCATAGCTGTGTGGGGCCACCTTATAGCTCTCTTGCCCTGCCCCATGGATCTCTAGCCCTGCCCCATAGATGTGTGGGGCTGCCCCATAGCTCTCTAGCCCTGCCCCACAGACGTGCAGGTCTTCCCCATAGATCCATAGGCCCTGCCCCATAGATGTGCAGGTCTGCCCCACAGATGTGTGGGGCTGCCCCACAGATCTATAGGGCTGCCCCATAGATCTCTAGCCCTCCCCCATAGCTCTCTTAAGTCCTGCCCCATAGATGTGTGGTCTGCCCCATAGACGTGTGGGTCCGCCCCACAGATGTGTGGGTCCGCCCCACAGATCTATAGGGCTGCCCCATAGATGTGTGGGTCCGCCCCATAGCTCTCTAGCCCTCCCCCATAGCTCTCTTAAGTCCTGCCCCATAGATGTGTGCTCTGCCCCATAGACGTGTGGGTCCGCCCCACAGATCTATAGGGCTGCCCCACAGATCTCTAGCCCTCCCCCATAGCTCTCTTAAGTCCTGCCCCATAGATGCGTGGTCTGCCCCATAGATGTGTGGGTCCGCCCCACAGATGTGTGGGGCTGCCCCATAGATGTGTTGGTCTGCCCCATAGATCTCTAGCCCTCCCCCATACCTAAGTCCTGCCCCATAGATGTGTGGTCTGCCCCACAGACGTGTGGGTCCGCCCCATAGATGTGTGGGTCCACCCCACAGATGTGTTGGTCTGCCCCATAGATCTCTAGCCCTCCCCCATAGCTCTCTAGGTCCTGCCCCATAGATACGTGGTCTGCCCCATACATGTGTGGGTCCGCCCCACAGATGTGTGGGTCCGCCCCATAGATGCATGGTCTGCCCCATAGATGTGTTGGTCTGCCCCATAGATCTCTAGCCCTCCCCCATAGCTCTCTTAAGTCCTGCCCCATAGACGTGTGGGTCCGCCCCACAGATGCGTGGGTCCGCCCCATAGATTTCTAGCCCTCCCCCATAGCTCTCTTAAGTCCTGCCCCATAGATGTGTGGTCTGCCCCACAGAGGTATGGGTCCGCCCCACAGATGTGTGGGTCCGCCCCACAGATGTGTTGGTCTGCCCCATAGATCTCTAGCCCTCCCCCATAGCTCTCTAGGTCCTGCCCCATAGATACGTGGTCTGCCCCATACATGTGTGGGTCCGCCCCACAGATGTGTGGGTCTGCCCCACAGATCTATAGGGCTGCCCCATAGATGTGTGGGTCCGCCCCATAGCTCTCTAGCCCTCCCCCATAGCTCTCTTAAGTCCTGCCTCATAGATGCGTGGTCTGCCCCATAGATGTATGGGTCCACCCCATAGATGTGTGGGTCCGCCCCATAGATGCGTGGGTCTGCCCCACAGATCTATAGGGCTGCCCCACAGATCTCTAGCCCTCCCCCATAGCTCTCTTAAGTCCTGCCCCATAGATACGTGGTCTGCCCCACAGATGTATGGGTCCGCCCCATAGACGTGTGGGTCCGCCCCATAGACGTGTGGGTCCGCCCCACAGATGTGTTGGTCCGCCCCATAGATCTCTAGCCCTCCCCCATAGCTCTCTTAAGTCCTGCCCCATAGATACGTGGTCTGCCCCACAGAGGTATGGGTCCGCCCCATAGATGTGTTGGTCCGCCCCATAGATGTGTGGGTCCGCCCCATAGATCTCTAGCCCTCCCCCATAGCTCTCTTAAGTCCTGCCCCATAGATACCTGGTCCGCCCCACAGATGTGTGGGTCCGCCCCACAGATGTGTGGGTCCGCCCCACAGATCTATAGGGCTGCCCCACAGATCTCTAGCCCTGCCCCATAGCTCTCTTAAGTCCTGCCCCATAGATGCATGGTCCGCCCCACAGAGGTATGGGTCCGCCCCATAGATGTGTGGGTCCGCCCCATAGACGTGTGGGTCCGCCCCATAGATCTCTAGCCCTCCCCCATAGCTCTCTTAAGTCCTGCCCCATAGATGCGTGGTCTGCCCCATAGATGTGTGGGTCCGCCCCATAGACGTGTGGGTCCGCCCCATAGATCTCTAGCCCTCCCCCATAGCTCTCTTAAGTCCTGCCCCATAGATGCGTGGTCTGCCCCATAGATGTGTGGGTCCGCCCCATAGACGTGTGGGTCCGCCCCATAGATCTCTAGCCCTCCCCCATAGCTCTCTTAAGTCCTGCCCCATAGATGCGTGGTCTGCCCCATAGATGTGTGGGTCCGCCCCATAGACGTGTGGGTCCGCCCCATAGATCTCTAGCCCTCCCCCATAGCTCTCTTAAGTCCTGCCCCATAGACGTGCAGGTCCGCCCCACAGATGTGTGGGTCCGCCCCATAGACGTGCGGGTCCACCCCACAGATCTATAGGGCTGCCCCACAGATGTGTGGGGCTCAGACGAAGGTGACGCGGGTGCGGGCGGCGTTCACGTGCACCACGTTGAGCTCCTCGTACTCGTCCAGGGCCGCCCGCACCTGGGCCGGGGTGAAGCCCTTGGCCCCACAGCGCTCCAGGGCCTCGCTATAGGGCACGGCCCCACGGCCGCCCCCCAGCTCCCGCAGCGCCGCCAGGATGGCGTCAGAGGGGCGCTGGGGCCTGCGGGGGGGATGAGGGGGGGTTATGGGGGGGATATGGGGGGATATGGGGGGGAATGGGGGTGTGGGGGGGGAAATGGGGGGGATATGGGGGGATATGGGGGGATATGGGGGGGATATGGGGGGGATGTGGGGGGATGTGGGGGGGATGTGGGGGGGATATGGGGGGAGATGGGGGGGATATGGGGGGATATGGGGGGGATATGGGGGGATATGGGGGGGATATGGGGGGAGGGGGGATATGGGGGGATATGGGGGGATATAGGGGGGAAATGGGGGGGTTATGGCAGGATATGGGGGGATATGGGTCTCTATGGGTCTCTATGGGTCCCTATGGGTCTCTATGGGGTTCCTATGGGAGTCTATGGGGTCTCTATGGGTCTCTATGTGTCCCTATGGGTCTCTATGTGTCTCTATGGGTCTCTATGTGTCTCTATGGGTCTCTATGGGTCTCTATGGGTCTCTATGGGTCTCTATGGGTCTCTATGGGTCTCTATGGGTCTCTATGGGGCTCTATGGGGCTCTATGGGTCCCTATGGGTCTCTATGGGTCTCTATGGGGCCTCCATGGGTCTCTATGGGGCTCTATGGGGCTCTGTGGGGCTCTATGGGGCTCTATGGAGTCTCTATGTGTCTCTATGGGTCTCTATGGGTCTCTATGGGTCTCTATGGGGCTCTATGTGTCTCTATGGGTCTCTATGGGTCTCTATGGGTCTCTATGTGTCTCTATGGGTCCCTATGGGTCTCACCGTGGGCCCGGCTCCTGTTCTGTCTCCAGCGATTCCCGGCTCCTCTCCAGCAGCCGCACGGCCTCGGCCACGTCCTCGCGCTCCACCACGGCCCCCAGGCGCAGGCGGGCCTGGACCCATAGAGACCCATAGAGACCCATAGAGACCCATAGAGACCCATAGAGACCCATAGAGACCCATAGAGACCCATAGGGACCCATAGAGACCCATAGGGACCCATAGAGACCCATAGAGACCCATAGAGCCCCATAGAGACCCATAGAGACCCATAGAGACCCCATAGAGACCCATAGAGACACATAGAGACCCATAGAGACCCATAGAGACACATAGAGACCCATAGAGACCCATAGAGACCCATAGAGACACATAGAGACCCATAGAGACCCATAGAGACCCATAGAGACACATAGAGACCCATAGAGACCCATAGAGACCCATAGAGACCCCATAGAGACCCATAGAGACACATAGAGACCCATAGAGACCCATAGAGACCCATAGAGACACATAGAGACCCATAGAGACCCATAGAGACCCATAGAGACCCATAGAGACACATAGAGACCCATAGAGACCCATAGAGACCCATAGAGACACATAGAGACCCATAGAGACCCATAGAGACCCATAGAGACACATAGAGACCCATAGAGACCCATAGAGACCCATAGGGACCCATAGAGACCCATAGAGACCCATAGAGACCCATAGAGACCCATAGGGACCCATAGAGACCCATAGAGACCCATAGAGACCCATAGGGACCCATAGAGACCCATAGGGACCCATAGGGACCCATAGAGACCCATAGAGACCCATAGAGACCCATAGAGACCCATAGGGACACATAGAGACCCATAGAGACCCATAGAGACACATAGAGACCCATAGAGACCCATAGAGACCCATAGAGACCCATAGCAACCCATATACCCCCCATTCCACCCCCATTACCCCCCATGTCCCCCCCATTGTCCCCCCCTCTGCCCCCCAAGTGCCCCCCCCTGCCCCCCCAAGTGCTCCCCCCCCGCCCCCTCTCTGCCCCCCAAGTGCCCCCCCTCTGCCCCCCAAGTGCCCCCCTCTCCACCCCCCAAGTGCCCCCCCCGCTCCCCAAGTGCCCCCCTTCCACCCCCCAAGTGCCCCCCTCTGCCCCCCAAGTGCCCCCCTCTGCCCCCCAAGTGCCCCCCGCCCCCCAAGTGCCCCCCTCCGCCCAAGTGCCCCCCCGCCCCCCAAGTGCCCCCCTCTGCCCCCCAAGTGCCCCCCTCTGCCCCCCAAGTGCCCCCCCTCCGCCCAAGTGCCCCCCCTCTGCCCCCCAAGTGCCCGCCCGTCCCCAAGTGCCCCCCCTCCGCCCCATGCCCCCCAAGTGCCCCCTCGCCCCCCAAGTGCCCCCCATTGCCCCCCAAGTGCCCCCCACTGCCCCCCAAGTGCCCCCCATGCACCCCCCAAGTGCCCCCCAAGCCCCCCCCTCCCCCCCAGTGCCCCCCCTCTGCCCCCCAAGTGCCCCCCCCGCCCCCCAAGTGCTCCACCCCCGCCCCCCAAGTGCCCCCCTCTGCCCCCCAAGTGCCCCCCTCCACCCCCCAAGTGCCCCCTCTGCCCCCCAAGTGCCCCCCAAGTGCCCCCCCTCCGCCCCCCAAGTGCCCCCCCCTCACCAGCGCGGTGGCCATGCGCAGCAGGGCCAGGAGGCTGCGGGGGGAGGTGAAGCCGCCCCCTGCCCCACGGCGCAGCCCCACATAAGCGGCCGTGAGGGGCTCGGCCAGCGCGGGGGGCACCCGGGGCTGCTGCCGCTTGCACAGGGCCAGGTACCGCCTGCAGGGGCAATGGGGCAATGGGGCTATGGGGGGCTATGGGGGCTATGGGGAGCTATGGGGCAGTGGGGGCATGGGGAGCATGGGGGCTATGGGGGCTATGGGGAGCTATGGGGCAATAGGGTGCTATGGGGCAGTGGGGGTGATGGGGAGCTATGGGGCGATGGGGGGCAATGGGGAGATGGGGCTATGGGGAGCTATGGGGAGCTATGGGGCAATGGGGCAATGGGGAGCTATGGGGGGGGGAGCTATGGGGCGATGGGGGGCAATGGGGAGGCTATGGGGAGCTATGGGGAGCTATGGGGCAGTGGGGGCTATGGGGGGTGATGGGGGCAATGGGGCTAAGGGGAGCTATGGGGAGCTATGGGGGGCTATGGGGAGGCAATGGGGGCAATGGGGGGTGATGGGGGCTATGGGGCTATGGGGAGCTATTGGGCAATGGGGCTATGGGGCTATGGGGCAATGGGGCAATGGGGGCTATGGGGAGCTATGGGGGCTATGGGGAGCTATGGGGCAGTGGGGCCTATGGGGGCTATGGGGCAATGGGGGGCGATGGGGCTATGGGGAGCTATGGGGCAGTGGGGGTGATGGGGGCAATGGGGAGCTATGGGGGCTATGGGGAGCTATGGGGAGCTATGGGGGCTATGGGGAGCTATGGGGAGCTATGGGGAGCTATGGGGGCTATGGGGAGCTATGGGGAGCTATGGGGAGCTATGGGGAGCTATGGGGAGCTATGGGGCAATGGGGAGCTATGGGGAGCTATGGGGAGCTATGGGGCAATGGGGAGCTATGGGGCAGTGGGGGCTATGGGGCAACAGGGGGCCATGGGGCAATGGGGGTGATGGGGAGCTATGGGGCAGCAGGGGTGATGGGGGCTATGGGGCAATGGGGGCTATGGGGGGCTATGGGGCAATGGGGAGCTATGGGGAGCTATGGGGCAGTGGGGCAACAGGGGGCTATGGGGCAGTGGGGGTGATGGGGAGCTATGGGGCAATGGGGAGCTATGGGGCAGTGCAGGGTGATGGGGCGATGGGGCTATGGGGAGCTATGGGGCGGTGGGGGCTATGGGGCAGTGGGGGGTGATGGGGGCAATGGGGCGATGGGGGCTATGGGGAGCTATGGGGCAGTGGGGGGTGATGGGGAGCTATGGGGCAGAGGGGAGCTATGGGGAGCTATGGGGCAATGGGGAGCTATGGGGCAGAGGGGAGCTATGGGGAGCTATGGGGCAATGGGGGGCGAGGGGGGCAATGGGGAGCTATGGGGCAGTGGGGCAACAGGGGCTATGGGGCAATGGGGGGCAATAGGGCAATAGGGGGCTATGGGGCAATGGGGGGCAATGGGGTGATGGGGGCTATGGGGAGCTATGGGGCAGTGGGGCAATAGGGTGCTATGGGGCAGTGGGGTGTGATGGGGTCAATGGGGCAATGGGGGCAATGGGGCGATGGGGCTATGGGGAGCTATGGGGAGCTATGGGGCAGTGGGGGGCAAGGGGGAGCTATGGGGCAGTGGGGCAACAGGGGGCTATGGGGGCTATGGGGAGCTATGGGGCTATGGGGAGCTATGGGGCAGTGGGGGGTGATGGGGGCAATGGGGGGCAAGGGGGCGATGGGGGCTATGGGGAGCTATGGGGCAGTGGGGGCAATGGGGAGCTATGGGGCAACAGGGGGCTATGGGACAATGGGGGGCAATGGGGGTAATGGGGGGGACATGGGGGGTGATGGGGGGCAATGGGGGGTAATGGAAGCCAGAGGGATCCATAGGGTGGATGTGGGGTAGGGATCTATGGGGCGGATATGGGGCAGGGAGCCATGGGGATCTATGGGGCGGATGTGGGGCAGGGATCCATAGGGATCTATGGGGTGGATGTGGGGCAGGGATCCATGGGGCGGATGTGGGGCAGGGATCCATAGGGGTGGATGTGGGGCAGGGATCTATGGGGCGGATGTGGGGCAGGGATCTATGGGGTGGATGTGGGGCAGGGATCTATGGGGTGGATGTGGGGCAGGGATCTATGGGGTGGATGTGGGGCAGGGATCTATGGGGTGGATGTGGGGCAGGGATCTATGGGGTGGATGTGGGGCAGCGATCCATGGGGCGGATGTGGGGCAGGGATCCATGGGGCGGATGTGGGGCAGGGATCCATGGGGCGGATGTGGGGCAGGGATCTATGGGGCGGATGTGGGGCAGGGATCTATGGGGCGGATGTGGGGCAGGGATCTATGGGGCGGATGTGGGGCAGGGATCCATAGGGATCCATGGGGCGGATGTGGGGCAGGGATCTATGGGGCGGATGTGGGGCAGGGATCTATGGGGCGGATGTGGGGCAGGGATCTATGGGGTGGATGTGGGGCAGGGATCTATGGGGTGGATGTGGGGCAGGGATCCATAGGGATCTATGGGGTGGATGTGGGGCAGGGATCTATGGGGTGGATGTGGGGCAGGGATCCATGGGGCGGATGTGGGGCAGGGATCTATGGGGCGGATGTGGGGCAGGGATCTATGGGGCGGATGTGGGGCAGGGATCCATGGGGCGGATGTGGGGCAGGGATCTATGGGTCCGGGGACGCCCCCTCACCTCATGAGCTTCATGTCCAGGGGCTGGAAGGCGCCGGGGGGCTCCCGGTTGTGGCGGTGCACGAAGGTGATGTGGTGGGCGAGGCTGTGGGGCAGCCCCATAGCGTTAGTGGGGCACCAGCCCCACATCTCCCTATGGCTCCATCCCTATGGGTCCAGCCCCACACATCCCTATGGCTCCATCCCCTATACATCCATTCTCTATGGCTCCATCCCTATGGGTCCAGCCCCACATCTCCCTATAGCTCCATCCCCTATGGGTCCAGCCCCACATCTCCCTATAGCTCCATCCTCTATAGATCCATTCTCTATGGCTCCATCCCTATGGGTCCAGCCCCACATCTCCCTATGGCTCCACCCCTATGGGTCCAGCCCCACACATCCCTATGGCTCCATCCCCTATACATCCATTCTCTATGGCTCCATCCCTATGGGTCCAGCCCCACATCTCCCTATGGCTCCACCCCTATGGGTCCAGCCCCACACATCCCTATGGCTCCATCCCCTATACATCCATTCTCTATGGCTCCATCCCTATGGGTCCAGCCCCACATCTCCCTATAGCTCCATCCCCTATGGGTCCAGCCCCACATCTCCCTATAGCTCCATCCTCTATAGATCCATTCCCTATGGCTCCATCCCCTATAGATCCAGCCTCTATGGGTCCAGCCCCACACATCTATGGCTCCATCCCTATGGGTCCAGCCCCACACATCCCTATAGCTCCATCCTCTATAGATCCATTCTCTATGGCTCCATCCCCTATAGATCCCGCCTCTGTGGGTCCAGCCCCACATATCTATGGCTCCATCCCTATGGGTCCAGCCCCACACATCCCTATGGCTCCATCCCCTATAAATCCATTCTCTATGGCTCCATCTCCTATAGATCCAGCCTCTGTGGGTCGAGCCCCACACATCTATGGCTCCCAGCCCCACACATCCCTATGTGTCCAGCCCCACACATCCGTGGGTCCCAGCCCCACATATATGGCTCCAATCCCACACATCTATGGGTCCCAGCCCCACACATCCCTATGTGTCCAGCCCCACACATCCGTGGGTCCCAGGCCCACATATATGTGTCCAGCCCCACACATCCCTATAGCTCCCAGCCCCACACATCCATGGCTCCATCCCCACATATCCATGGCTCCAGCCCGACGCTTCCATGTGTCCAGTCCCACACATCTATGGGTCCAGCCCCACATATCTATGGGTCTAACCCCACACATCCATAGCTCCCAGCCCCACACATCTATAGGTCCCAGACCCACACATCCAAAGCTCCCAGCCCCACAGATCCACGACTCCAGCCCCACAGATCCACAGGTCCAGCCCCACACATCCACGGGTCCAGCCCCACACATCCATGCCACCAGCCCCACACATCTATGGGTCCCAGCCCCACACATCCACGGCTCCAGCCCCACATCCACAGCTCCAGCCCCGCGCATCTATGGGTCCCAGCCCCACACATCCACGGCTCCAGCCCTGCGCATCTATGGGTCCCAGCCCCACATATCCACGACTCCAGCCCCACACATCTATGGGTCCAGTCCCACACATTCATGTGTCCAGCCCCACAGACCCACGACTCCAGCCCCACACATCTATGGGTCCAGCCCCACATATCCACGACTCCAGCCCCACACATCTATGACTCCAGCCCCACACATTTTGTGTCCCGCCCCACACATCCACGACTCCAGCCCCATAGATCTATGGGTCCAGCCCCACACATTTTGTGTCCAGCCCCACACATCCACGACTCCAGCCCCACACATCCACGACTCCAGCCCCACACATTTTGTGTCCAGCCCCACACATCCATGGCTCCCAGCCCCATAGATCCGTGGGTCCAGCCCCATAGATCCGTGGCTCCCAGCCCCATAGATCCGTGGGTCGCAGCCCCATAGATCCGTGGCTCCAGCCCCATAGATCCGTGGCTCCCAGCCCCATAGATCCGTGGCTCCAGCCCCATAGATCCGTGGGTCGCAGCCCCCTACCTGAGGTCCCTGCTCCTCGCGGGCCGGTCCCTCACCCCCCAGACGAGATCAAAGCGCGAGCTCAGCGCCGGCTCCAGCCCCACACATCCACGACTCCAGCCCCACACATTTTGTGTCCAGCCCCACACATCTATGGGTCCAGCCCCACAGATCCACGACTCCAGCCCCACACATCTATGGGTCCAGCCCCACACATCCACGACTCCAGCCCCATAGATCCATGACTCCAGCCCCACACATCCACGACTCCAGCCCCACAGATCTATGGGTCCAGCCCCACACATCCACGACTCCAGCCCCACACATTTTGTGTCCAGCCCCACACATCCACGACTCCAGCCCCACACATTTTGTGTCCAGCCCCATAGATCCGTGGGTCCAGCCCCACACATCCACGACTCCAGCCCCACACATTTTGTGTCCAGCCCCACACATCCACGACTCCAGCCCCACACATTTTGTGTCCAGCCCCATAGATCCGTGGGTCCAGCCCCACACATCCACGACTCCAGCCCCACACATTTTGTGTCCAGCCCCACATATCCACGACTCCAGCCCCATAGATCCGTGGCTCCAGCCCCATAGATCCGTGGGTCGCAGCCCCCTACCTGAGGTCCCTGCTCCTCGCGGGCCGGTCCCTCACCCCCCAGACGAGATCAAAGCGCGAGCTCAGCGCCGGCTCCAGCCCCACACATCCACGACTCCAGCCCCATAGATCTATGGGTCCAGCCCCACACATTTTGTGTCCAGCCCCACACATCCACGACTCCAGCCCCATAGATCTATGGGTCCAGCCCCACACATTTTGTGTCCAGCCCCATAGATCCACGACTCCAGCCCCACACATTTTGTGTCCAGCCCCATAGATCCACGACTCCAGCCCCACAGATCCACGACTCCAGCCCCATAGATCTATGGGTCCAGCCCCACACATTTTGTGTCCAGCCCCACACATCCACGACTCCAGCCCCACACATTTTGTGTCCAGCCCCACACATCTATGGGTCCAGCCCCACACATTTTGTGTCCAGCCCCATAGATCTATGGGTCCAGCCCCACACATTTTGTGTCCAGCCCCACACATCCACGTCTCCAGCCCCATAGATCCGTGGGTCCCAGCCCCACACATCCCTAGCTCCCAGCCCCATAGATCCATGGCTCCCAGCCCCATAGATCCGTGGCTCCCAGCCCCACAGCTCCGTGGGTCGCAGCCCCCTACCTGAGGTCCCTGCTCCTCGCGGGCCGGTCCCTCACCCCCCAGACGAGATCAAAGCGCGAGCTCAGCGCCGGCTCCAGCCCCACACATCCACGACTCCAGCCCCATAGATCTATGGGTCCAGCCCCACACATTTTGTGTCCAGCCCCATAGATCTATGGGTCCAGCCCCACATATTTTCTGTCCAGCCCCATAGATCCGTGGCTCCCAGCCCCATAGATCCGTGGGTCGCAGCCCCACACATCTATGGGTCCAGCCCCACAGCTCCGTGGGTCGCAGCCCCCTACCTGAGGTCCCTGCTCCTCGCGGGCCGGTCCCTCACCCCCCAGACGAGATCAAAGCGCGAGCTCAGCGCCGGCTCCAGCCCCACACATCCACGACTCCAGCCCCATAGATCTATGGGTCCAGCCCCACACATTTTGTGTCCAGCCCCATAGATCCGTGGGTCGCAGCCCCATAGATCCGTGGCTCCCAGCCCCATAGATCCGTGGGTCGCAGCCCCACACATCTATGGGTCCAGCCCCACAGCTCCGTGGGTCGCAGCCCCCTACCTGAGGTCCCTGCTCCTCGCGGGCCGGTCCCTCACCCCCCAGACGAGATCAAAGCGCGAGCTCAGCGCCGGCTCCAGCCCCACGTTGCTCTCCGTGGGTCTCCGTGGGTCCCAGCGCCCCATAGGCGGGTTGGCGGCAGCCAATAGGGCGCAGCGCGCGTTGAGCCTGGCGGCCACGCCCGCTTTGGCCACCGAGAGGCGCTGTTGCTCCATGGCCTCGTAGAGCGCCGCCCGCTCCAGCCCCACGGCTCCAGCCCCACATCCACGGCTCCAGCCCCGCGCATCTATGGGGCCAGCGCCGCGCGTCTATGGGTCCCAGACCCACACATCTATGGGTCCCAGCCCCACACATCTATGGGTCCAGTGCCGCGCATCTATGGGTCCCAGCCCCACACATCTATGGGTCCAGTGCCGCGCATCTATGGGTCCCAGCCCCACACATCTATGGGTCCAGTGCCGCGCATCTATGGGTCCAGCGCCACACATCCACGACTCCAGCCCCACACATCCACGACTCCAGCCCCATAGATCTATGGGTCCAGCCCCACACATCCACGACTCCAGACCCACACATCCATGACTCCAGCCCCACAGATCCACGACTCCAGCCCCACACATTTTGTGTCCAGCCCCACACATCCACGACTCCAGCCCCACACATTTTGTGTCCAGCCCCACACATCCACGGCTCCAGCCCCATAGATCTATGGGTCCAGCCCCACACATTTTGTGTCCAGCCCCACACATCCACAACTCCAGTCCCACAGATCTATGGGTCCAGCCCCACACATCCACGACTCCAGCCCCACACATTTTGTTTCCAGCCCCACACATCCACGACTCCAGCCCCATAGATCCGTGGGTCCAGCCCCACACATCCACGACTCCAGCCCCATAGATCCATGGCTCCAGCCCCATAGATCTATGGGTCCAGCCCCACACATTTTGTGTCCAGCCCCATAGATCCATGGCTCCAGCCCCATAGATCTATGGGTCCAGCCCCACACATTTTGTGTCCAGCCCCATAGATCTATGGGTCTAGCCCCACACATCCACGACTCCAGCCCCACAGCTCCGTGGCTCCAGCCCCATAGATCCGTGGGTCGCAGCCCCACAGCTCCGTGGGTCGCAGCCCCCTACCTGAGGTCCCTGCTCCTCGCGGGCCGGTCCCTCACCCCCCAGACGAGATCAAAGCGCGAGCTCAGCGCCGGCTCCAGCCCCACGTTGCTCTCCGTGGGTCTCCGTGGGTCCCAGCGCCCCATAGGCGGGTTGGCGGCAGCCAATAGGGCGCAGCGCGCGTTGAGCCTGGCGGCCACGCCCGCTTTGGCCACCGAGAGGCGCTGTTGCTCCATGGCCTCGTAGAGCGCCGCCCGCTCCAGCCCCACGGCTCCAGCCCCACATCCACGGCTCCAGCCCCGCGCATCTATGGGGCCAGCGCCACACATCTATGGGTCCCAGCCCCACACATCTATGGGGCCAGCGCCACGCATCTATGGGTCCCAGCCCCACACATCTATGGGTCCAGCCCCAGACATCCACGGCTCCAGCCCCATAGATCTATGGGTCCAGCCCCACACATTTTGTGTCCAGCCCCACACATCCACGACTCCAGCCCCACACATTTTGTGTCCAGCCCCATAGATCCACGACTCCAGCCCCATAGATCCACGACTCCAGCCCCATAGATCCATGGGTCCAGCCCCACACATCCACGATTCCAGCCCCACACATTTTGTGTCCAGCCCCACACATTTTGTGTCCAGCCCCACAGATCTATGGGTCCAGCCCCACACATCCACGACTCCAGCCCCACACATTTTGTGTCCAGCCCCATAGATCTATGGGTCCAGCCCCACACATCCACGACTCCAGCCCCATAGATCTATGGGTCCAGCCCCACACATTTTGTGTCCAGCCCCACACATCCACGACTCCAGCCCCATAGATCTACAGCCCCACACATTTTGTGTCCAGCCCCATAGATCCACGACTCCAGCCCCACACATTTTGTGTCCAGCCCCACACATCCACGACTCCAGCCCCACACATCCACGACTCCAGCCCCACACATCCACGACTCCAGCCCCATAGATCCACGACTCCAGCCCCATAGATCTATGGGTCCAGCCCCACACATTTTCTGTCCAGCCCCATAGATCCGTGGCTCCAGCCCCACACATTGGCTCCTCACAGCCCCACAGCCCCACAGCTCCACGGTCCAGCCCCATGGCCCACAGCTGTTGCTCCAGGCCTCGTGGGTCCGCCGCCCGCTCCAGCCCCACGTGCTCCATCCCAGCCCCACAGCTCCGTGGCTCCAGCCCCATCCGTGGGTCCGCCCCATAGATCCGTGGGTCGCAGCCCCATAGATCCACACACACACACACACACACACACACACACACACACACACACACACACACACACACACACACACACACACACACACACACACACACACACACACACACACACACACACACACACACACACACACACACACACACACACACACACACACACACACACACACACACACACACACACACACACACACACACACACACACACACACACACACACACACACACAACACACACACACACACACACACACACACACACACACACACACACACACACACACACACACACACACACACACACACACACACACACACACACACACACACACACACACACACACACACACACACACACACACACACACACACACACACACACACACACACACACACACACACACACACACACACACACACACACACACACACACACACACACACACACACACACACACACACACACACACACACACACACACACACACACACACACACACACACACACACACACACACACACACACACACACACACACACACACACACACACACACACACACACACACACACACACACACACACACACACACACACACACACACACACACACACACACACACACACACACACACACACACACACACACACACACACACACACACACACACACACACACACACACACACACACACACACACACACACACACACACACACACACACACACACACACACACACACACACACACACACACACACACACACACACACACACACACACACACACACACACACACACACACACACACACACACACACACACACACACACACACACACACACACACACACACACACACACACACACACACACACACACACACACACACACACACACACACACACACACACACACACACACACACACACACACACACACACACACACACACACACACACACACACACACACACACACACACACACACACACACACACACACACACACACACACACACACACACACACACACACACACACACACACACACACACACACACACACACACACACACACACACACACACACACACACACACACACACACACACACACACACACACACACACACACACACACACACACACACACACACACACACACACACACACACACACACACACACACACACACACACACACACACACACACACACACACACACACACACACACACACACACACACACACACACGGCTCCCAGCCCCATAGATCCGTGGGTCCAGCCCCATAGATCCGTCCCAGCCCCACAGCTCCCAGCCCCACACATCTGATCCCTGCTCCACACATTTTGGTCCAGCCCCATACGAGATCAAAGCGATCCAGCCCCACACATCCACGACTCCAGCCCCATAGATCTATGGGCCCAGCCCCACACATTTTGTGTCCAGCCCCACACATCCACGACTCCAGCCCCATAGATCCACGACTCCAGCCCCACAGATCCACAACTCCAGCCCCATAGATCTATGGGTCCAGCCCCACACATCCACGACTCCAGCCCCACACATTTTGTGTCCAGCCCCATAGATCCATGGCTCCCAGCCCCATAGATCCGTGGCTCCAGCCCCATAGATCCGTGGGTCCAGCCCCACACATCCACGACTCCAGCCCCATAGATCTATGGGTCCAGCCCCACACATTTTCTGTCCAGCCCCACAGATCCACGACTCCAGCCCCACAGCTCCGTGGCTCCCAGCCCCATAGATCCGTGGGTCGCAGCCCCATAGATCCGTGGCTCCCAGCCCCATAGATCCGTGGCTCCAGCCCCATAGATCCGTGGGTCGCAGCCCCATAGATCCGTGGCTCCAGCCCCATAGATCCGTGGGTCGCAGCCCCATAGATCCGTGGGTCGCAGCCCCCTACCTGAGGTCCCTGCTCCTCGCGGGCCGGTCCCTCACCCCCCAGACGAGATCAAAGCGCGAGCTCAGCGCCGGCTCCAGCCCCACGTTGCTCTCCGTGGGTCTCCGTGGGTCCCAGCGCCCCATAGGCGGGTTGGCGGCAGCCAATAGGGCGCAGCGCGCGTTGAGCCTGGCGGCCACGCCCGCTTTGGCCACCGAGAGGCGCTGTTGCTCCATGGCCTCGTAGAGCGCCGCCCGTTCCGGAAGCGGAAGTTTATCGAGTTCGTCCAAGGCGCAGACGCCGCCGTCCGAGAGGACGAGGGCGCCCCCTTGCAGCGCGGAGGACCCCGTCAGGGGGTCTCGGAGGACCGAGGCCGTGAGGCCGCAACCGGAGGAACCGCGGGCGGAGGTCAAAGAGCCTGGGGGGAGGGGAGAGAGAGAGGGGGGGAGGGGTTATTATGGGATGGGGGAGGGGTTATTATGGGATGGGGGAGGGGGGGAGGGGTTATTATGGGGTGGATGAGGGGGGGTTGGGGGGAGGGGGATGTGGGGTGGAGGTCAGGGAGCCTGGGGGGAGGGGAGAGAGAGGGGGGGAGGGGTTATTATGGGATGGATGAGGGGGGGAGGGGGGGTTATTATGGGGTGGGGGAGGGGGGGAGGGGGGAGGGGGAGGGCAGTTATGGGGCAGAGGTCAGGGAGCCTGGGGGGAGGGGAGAGAGGGGGAGGGGTTATTATGGGATGGGGGAGGGGGGGAGGGGGGGTTATGGGGTGGGGGAGGGGGGAGGGGGTGGGGGGGATGTGGGGGGGATATGGGGTGGAGGTCAGGGAGCCTGGGGGGAGGGGAGAGAGGGGTTATTATGGGATGGATGAGGGGGGAGGGGGGGTTATGGGGGGGGGGGGGGGGGGCGGTGGTGGGGGGGGGGGGGGGGGGATATGGGGTGGAGGTCAGGGAGCCTGGGGGGAGGGGAGAGAGGGGTTATTATGGGATGGGGGAGGG